TTTTTGGTTTTTCGAGACAGAGTTTCTCTGTGGCTTTGGAGGCTGTCCTGGAACTCGCTCTTGTAGACCAGACTGGTCTCGAACTCACATAGATCCGCCTGCCTTTGCCTCCCGAGTGCTGGGATTAAAGGCGTGCGCCACCAACGCCCGGCTCTATTTTGGGACATCTTATCTCACTAAATTTTAGGTACATGGGGGACTATGTGCTTCAATTTATGTATTTATTTGCTTACTTAGTTTTCTTGAGGGTCTCTGTAGCTCAGGCTGTCCTCAAACCTGCAATCTTCCCCTGTGAGTCTTCTCAGCCCTGGCACTACAGACATTTACAATGCCACGCTTAAAGTTTTAATAAGACTACTTTGAAATTACTGTTCTGAGCAACATACTTGAACAGAATTACTCTTCCATTTATATTGGTGATAAATGCCAGTTCTAATAAGATGCTTGGCTCAATATCATATCCCTCTCCTGATGGGAGACCAATGTCCTCAGCTTGCATTGCTATACTGGTTAACTAGATCTCAAAGATGCGTTGCGTGTATGCCTGCTACATGTACATGTCTGTGAGGGTATGTTGGCATGTGGGTGTTAGGGCATATGTAGAGGCCACAGGTATGTCGGCTGCTTTCTTCCTCAATTGCCCTATACCTCATTTTTTTATTTTTTTTATTTTTTGAGACAGGAGTCTCTCAATGAACTTGGAACTCAGTTTTGAGTAAGCTGGCGGCTGGGCAGTGTGTGCCAGGGATTGGCCTCTTGGGACTACAGGCACTCACTGGCTCACCTGGATTTCTATGTGGGGGTTGGGTGTCCACCCTGGTCCATGTACATGCAGCAAGCACTCCACTGACTGAGCCTCTCAGAGCCGCTTCTTGTAGATGAATTCAGACCATGGCAAAAGTCAGTCTGCCTGTCTTAAGTTAACCCCAGGAAGCCATTTTAACTGTGGACAGTTTTAAAAATGACCTCAAATCTTTGAAGCAAACCTAGCTCTCAGGAGAACATCTGTTCCATTTGGAGGGGATGGGCAGTTCACAAATCTATGCTTATTTTTATGCCGCAGCTACATTTACATGACATTATGCAATGGCCATCTGCCAAGAGAAACATGCTTCTGTATTAAATGCCAAGCACATTGCAGCTCAGTTATTAAGTAACAATGCTATTAACAATTGCATGGTGGGCTGGAGAGATGGCTCTGTGGTTAAGAGTACTTACTGCAAGCGTGGCATGGTGGCATAGCTGCCAAGTCCAGCACTCATGAGGCATATTCTACGTGGAGATTTCCAGAATGGCCAGGGCTACATGGAGACCCTGTCTCAAAAAAGTAACAAATGAGCAAACAAAAAGAATACTCATTGGGGCTGGAGAGATGGCTCAATGGTTCAGAGCACTGACTGCTCTTTCAGACAACCCGGGTTTTGATTCCCAACACCCACATGGCAGCTCACAGCTGTCTGTAGCTCCAGGATCTGACAGGCTCACACTGACATATATACAGGCAGAACACCAAGGCACATGAAATAAAATAAATTATATATTTTTTTAAAAAAGAATACTCATTGCTTTTGAAAAGGACTCAGGTTCCCAGCACCCACATAGGGGGTTCACAACCATCTGTAACTCGGGTTTCAGGGGATCCAGCCTTCTCTTCTGGCCCCCACAAGCACTGCATAACTGTGGTATACTCAGATACATGCAAGCAAAACAGTCATACACATAAAGTAAAAAGTAAATCTTAAGATAACAAGTACATGGGAGTACACAGGCTTATTCTTTCCTAATTTATCCCATTTGATGGTTTCTACTGCTCTGAACTAAACAAATCTCCTTCCTCAGCGTTAACTATGGGACTGACACTAAAAATGAACCTCTCACCCATCAGTACTGCAACTGAACACAAACAAGAAAACAGTTTTAACTCAAAAAGAAATGTCTTATGGTCCCGACCTCTCATGGAGACCATTTTTTTTTTAAATGTTATTTTACAGAACAATACCTGTTAAACAGTTAAACAATACCCGACTCTCTCTCTCTTTCTTCCTTTCTTTTTAAAACTATAACGTGTGATTCTAAGCCCAAGGATAGTTACCAAATCATCTTCATGAAACTGGAATCAAAACAGGGTAGTCATTTTCTTGTAAAGATAAATTTCAGTGGGCTTGGGACTTAGCGGCAGAGTGGTTGCTCAGCAAGTTCAAGGCTATGGGTTTGAATCCCAGGACAACAAACAAAAAAACAAACCAAAGCAAAAAATTACTTTAGAGGTCTAGGCAGATGGTTCAGTGGCTAAGATGAAGACTGTTCTTGAAGAGGACCCAGTTCAATTCCCAGCTCCCACATCAGGTGGCTGGCTCACTATCAACTGAGGACCCGAGCTCCAGGGAATCCTATACCTTCTCCTGGCCTTAGCAGTCACCCACACTCATGCACACACTCAGCAGACACCCATACTCATGCACACACACTTCCCCTCATCCTTGGGACATATGAGACAATTAATTATAAACTCTATGGCCAGCAAGATGGCGAGAGTGCCTGATATTAAGCCTGATGATCCAAGTTCAATCCCCAGGACCCCTTCTGGTGAAGGGAAACCAAGTTGTTCTCCAGACATCATGATACATGTAAGCACACACACGCATGCATGCACGCACACACTCAAAAACTAAAATAAACATAATTGAAAAAACCCCCAAACCTTCAACCCTAAACACTTTGTAATTATGAACTAAATGGTGAGGAGATACTTACTGAATGAGAAATCAGGTCTTGAGGATCAAGCATAGGGCTGCTCCTGCCTTAAAGTGTAGGAAGCTTACTTAATCACAGGCTTCTGCTGGTGTTCCACAGCTAGCTCTTATTGCTCACCATCAGAGATTCTCTGCACAGTTAAAAACTACATCAGCAACAAGGAGACTGTTTACAAAGCAATTCACTTGTACTGGAGGTGAGAGATGCCCAGGCCATGGTGTTGCATTGTGATGTTCACAAGTGTTACATGATCCATTGGGAGCATTTGATTAGCCTATTTTCCCCAACAGTGTTCTACTCTTCCTAACCTAATACACACTAGCAAATTAGAAACTGATTAAATTAAGGAGTGCTAGGGTCAATTGTAAAGGGACAGAAACAATCTCTCCTCAAATACAGGTTATAGTAATTTAAAAACAGAAAAAAAAGATTTTAAAACTTTATTATTGGTGGATGTGGGGTTACACTTGTAACTTCGAACATTTGGAGACTAGAGGGCAGCTTGAGGGAGTCAGTGTGGGCCAATGTGTGTCATGGTACGTGTATGGAGGTCAGAGGACAACTTGGAGGAGCTGGTTCACTCCTTGCTTCATGTGGGTCCCTGGGACTAACTAAACTCAGGTTGTTAGTAGCTTGACTCACTGAACCTCCCCTATAGTCCTTAATTACCAAAGAAAAAGCAAAATACTACAAGAAAGCCCAAGCATACAATCTTCTTAATACTTTTGAGGAATGGTTAAAATAAAGCCAGAGCTAGCTACTTTTTCAATAGGATTTACTTAGTTTATCCTGGTTGGGTAAGCTGAATCCTCAGCCCATAGTTCTTCTAACAGGAGTGCCTATCTTCACCGGAGGACAACAGGAGCTTGTATGGAAGAAACAGGAATTTGATCTTCTGGCCGACTGTAGCCATCACAAAGTGCCCTGGGGTCTAAGGCACAGACCAGTCAAGGGTAACCTGCATTCATGCCTCCAAGTACTCAATGTAAATATGGCAGGGTGCTAGCCCATTTATCACCACTCAAGGTCACAGGGCCTTGTGGCACCATTGTTACTAAGGTTTCACTTTCCGTTGCAGGTTTGATCTGCTAGTGTGCTTGCTTTCTAGGATTTTACTATTTTTGATTTTTTTTTTTTTAGACAGGGTCCCAAGTAGCCCCATGTAGCCTTGGACTGTTGATCCTCCTGCCTCAGCTTCTCAGGTGCTGAGGCTATGGGCATGTGTCACATTATTAAAAGTTCCGAGACTGAACTTTTATTATGAAAACATCCACAAGCTAGAATGGATATTTAAAATCTTTATTGTTTCATCATCAAAAGTTTCCTTTTTCTCTCCACAGCGGAATGGCAATGCCATGGTGGTGCATCTTCATGAAAACTCTTAAGTGACTAGCCTAGAAACCAGAGATGGGGACTGTCAAGTCAGTGTCATGGTCAGACACAAAATGCTGCCCATAAAATCAGTACCCAGAAAGAATATGCAGCTGTTAGAAAAGGTGTCTATAGCCAAGTGCGCAGCACTGCACACGTGAAGGAACAGAAAATGGGGAAGGACCTGAGAAGGAACCGCTGCTCCACGCTGATCGAAGGCAGAGTTCTGACCATGTGCACACCCCCCACCCCCCATCAACATCACTCAGTAAGCCATGTTTAGTCTAACCCACAAACGGCACAGCTACATTTGCAGGTTTCACACGGCTTCCCACCTCACAGCCAAAGGTAATCAAACATTGGTCAGGTCACACAAAACAAAATAAAAACTGCAGCTTTAGGCATCTTTAGTAAAAAGCTGAACAAATGTCATCTATGTTCCCATTTTGTTGTTGTTGTTGTTGAGAAATAGAACTCTAGAAAACAACAAAAGACAGTTGTCATGGTTACTCATTTTCAGCTAAAGGCAGAACACTTCTTTTTATATAAGCAGACTGAAGAAACATACAAATGTCTTCACAAAATACTGTTGGATCAATGTGAACATTTTTCATAATCAGCTCTTGAATTAAGGATTGAGAATCGGAGATTTGAATAACCGCTACGATTTGGTCATGCCTGGCCATTTGGGGGAAGTTTTTGGTCGGGTTTGAGTTTGAAGCTGTGATACAGCTGCATTTGGCTACTCTGAATTAATTCATACAACAAATACCTTTACAATAGCAGATCTGTCATGATGAAACCACACCTCAATTAGGAGGCACTAGGAAGCCTGTCTCAAGAGGTTTTGAAATACACACGCTCTAACCCCAGGAGACCGCTCCTATCAAAGTCAGAGTCCTAGAAATCTCTGACCCTGGATTACCTGCAAGACTACCAAGTCACTTGTGAATCTAGTCAAGGCCTTGAGGGGGAGGGGCACTCTGAATGTATGGCATAGCAATTGTTTTTTCCTAGTAGTCAAACATTTCTAAATGCTATTAAACTATATTTGAAAAGTTCTCTGACTTAATATATACAATGTACAAAATAAGTTAAAAGGAGGAAGCAGGGGAAAGTTTTTGATTATCTACAATGCAAACAAACTGTCCCATGCATGTCCACGTCACCCCTCCGAACCATGGGAGGCTGACAAAGCTCAGACTTGTCACTTATAAACAGAAGTGGCACTCAAACCAGGGAATTTCAGCTTCGCTTCTTCCCACACAGCAACTCACTTGCTTTGACGGTAATAAACACAAATATAAACTGTATCCCCAGACTTGTTTGTACCTTAAAGTTTAACATAAATTCTAACAATTGAAGAGAAAAGCACTCTTTTGTAGCAATTCCATAAAATAATTTTCAGTTCACAAAACACCTGTCTACTAGTAAAACCAGCAACCCTTATGGAGGGCATGGGCAGTATTACTTGGCCCCCCTGAGGTATAAATGCAGCTATCTTTGCACTGAGTAAATAGTGTATAAGGTATGTCAACAATCTGAATGTTTGCACTCACCTGGGAGTGATGTCATCCTGACTGAAAAAAACTTACATATACATATATATTTTTTTGTAATGGAGATTAACTGATTTTTAGAGAAAATATGTACTTTAGCCCATAATACAGCCAGAAGTTCTGAATTTCTAAACCAAAGCAAATGGTTATTACATCTTAAAAATGTTTAACATTGCATACTGATTTAAAAACAACTGAACAGGGAAAACACGTGAGTATTTTAGATTCAGCAGGACACCACAGAAAGCAGTCTAGAGAAGTGGGAAACCAGTCAAGCTTTTCCAAAAGAGAAAAAATCCTTTTAATCCTCAGCAAGTCCCCGTGGAAACAGGGGACTGAGAAGGGAGTGGCTGGGAGACCCCCAGGAGCTCGTTACACAATTCAGCATCACGGTCCCCATCTCCTGTGCATGGACGGCCAACAGATGACAGAAGTCCATGTGACAACAGTTCGGTAGCTCCTCTCACCACTGCTGCCAGCTGAAGTCATCGTTGCTCCCAAAGACCAAGAAGAAGCCCAGTATAGTTGCGAAGATGACTGTGTTTCCTGTGAGGACGAGTGCACATGCTCCCCACTCAATCTGCGGCAGGAAGAAAGCAACGGTCAGCAGGTGTGCAAAGCAAAGGCCACTCGGAGCAAACCAACGCTCTGTGCATTGGCCAATCACGATCATAAGCAATGTGGCTTGTAATGACCTTCCCAGTACAACACTCTCACACAGTGTTTTTATTTGCCATTGATTAATCGAAAAGTAGAGAGTTAGGGGCTGATCATTATTCCGGAACAACCTTAGCTCTGATAATGAGCATCTGAGCTTTGTTTGGCACCATCTGCAGTTCTGAGGGTCCACTCTAGGGCCCTGTGCACTTAGGACGCACCCCGCCCCTGACGTGGAAATCTTGTTAGAGTGGAGACTGAGCCCTAAGCACCAGCGATGAAAACAAACTCCGCTTCCTCTGAAAGGGGTGGAGGGTGTAACTGCCTCCATCACTTGAACTGTGGCTAGTCTCCACCCTTTCAGAGCTGCGGAGTGATTGCTCTTTCTCCTCTTTCACCCTTCCCAGCTGCACAGAACAACCTTCTCGTGTGTCTAGCCTTTAGCTCAGTGGTTCTCAACCTGTGGATCAGGACTCCTAAGTTGTTGAACAACCCTTTCAAATGGGTTTCATATCAGATATCCTGCATGCCAGATATTTACGATTCATAACAGTAGAAAAATTACAGTTATGAAGTGGGGATGAAATAATTCTATGGCTGGGGGGTCACAGCATTAGGAAGGTTGAGAACCACTGCTCAAGGTCTCACAGGGCGGGCCCCTGGGTGCTCAGCGCTGGTGAGTTAACGTGCCTTTTCTGCTGCAGACCCAAGCCTTGCTCTCCGACAGTTTCACCCCAACAGCAAAGAACAAACAGAAAGCTGGGGTTTCAATCTGTCTGCTACATCCTAACCTCTCACATCTCTCTTTTATGTGACGAAACTTGTAAGAAAAAATGAACAGTCTGAGAAAAAAATTTCACACACTTTGGCAACTCACCAGATGTGCTCTGGCAAATACAACAGGGAGTCCAAAAGCGGAGACAACAATGCCTGTTGTGAGGAATATGGCGAGCTCCTTGCAGGCATTGCTCATGGCATCTGTGTCATCCACTAATCTTCTTGCTATGCAGTATGGGATGGGTGAAAGGATATAAAAAAACAGAACAAAGAGGGGCCAGTATTGGCTAGAAAAGAAAAAAAGAAGTTAATGCAGTTTTTGTCAGCGATGTCATTTTCCAACATATTAAATACGTGTCTGCTTACAGACCAAAGGAAAATTACAAGGTGTCAAACAAGCTGCAGCTGAAAACAAAGCCACAAGCTCATGTGAGCATTTCAGAGTCAATTTATCCCTGTATTCAATTATGGCACAATATTTATAAGGTCTACTGACAAAATAATTTATGAAATAATGATCAAAATTTTAAAAATTCCTTTAGCTTAATAAGGAGGCATACTGAAAATAAGAATATTTACACAAAACTTTAAAAATTAAAGATCCACGCCTTTGACATCCTGTTTTTATCATAATGTTAAAATACCCATGCCTCCCTTAATTGAAACCAAAATATAGGACACTAACTGAAAATAGTACTGGAAAACATAGTTTTTAGTTCGTTGTTAACCATGTCGTACTGATTTCATTTTCTGGCTTTGACAACTGCAGTGGGGGAAGCTGTGTGAAGGGGACAAACTCTTTCCACCTCTTTGTCATGTTTTAACAGTATATTAAAAAATGTACAAGAAACAAATGGTCTTTAAAATTGAAAAGCTTAAATACATACACAATGGAGATTTGCTAGAGCTATCTGTCATATTTTCTTTTTTTTGAAAAAGATTTATTTTTATGTGAGTGTTGTGCACGAATGTATGTTCGTCACGTGCATGCAATACCCAACGAGGCCAGGAGAAGCTGTTACAGCCCCTGGAACTGGAGTTACAGATGACTGCCAGGCACCATGTGGGGGTTGGGAACTGAACCTGGGTCTTCCGGAAGAGCAGCCAGTGCTCTTATGCACTGAGCCATCTCTCCAGCCCCTTTATGTCTTTCTTAGTCTTTTCCTAAGCATCTTAAGAGAGCAAAACATTTTTTGTTTTTTGTTTGTTTTTTATATTTTGGAGTGGAGATTCTTACTAGCGATTATCTTCGTTGCAATTTTACTTTTTTTTTTTTGAGTACTCTCCCTTTTCAGTCCACAAACAACCCAACAGCATTTGCTCATCCCAAAGCCTACTCCGGTTCCCCAGCATATATGTGGGAAACGAGAGCAAAACATTTTTTAAGTGGAATATATATTTAAGAAAAATTCAAACAACATAGAAATACAAAAAAGTTTAAAACCAGAAGCTATCTAATCCCCTTCTTTTTTTCTTTTCTTTTTTTAATCTTTCTAAGGAGCTTCTTGTGGACCTTCCACAATTCATACAAATGTAACCAAGGTAGAACTCTATACAACAGCATTACAGTCCTAGCTCATTCCTTAATAATATTGTCATTCAAGAATCCACAATAATTCAATTTGTTTTTTTGGTATATATATGTTTGTATAGGTGTAGTGTGTGTGTGTGTGTGTGTATGGGTACTGGTATGAAGGTCAAGGAACAATCTTGGACATTGTTCCTCCTCAGGCACTGTCCACTTTTATTTGACACAGGGTCTCTCACTGATCTGGGGCTTACCAAATAGGCTAGGCTGTCTCTACCTCCTAGCACTTACAAACACGGAACACCATACTCTGCTTTTGCACCTGGGTTTGGGGTTTGGCAAGCAGTCCTCATGCTTATACAACAGGCACTTTGCTAACTGAACTGTGTTCTTCAGCCTTTCTATTTTAAGTGTGTGTGTGTGTGTGTGGATATCAGAGAACAATCTTGGGTGTCAGTTCTTACCTACTGCACTGTTTGAGACAGGTTGTTTGCTGGTGTCTATACCAGGTTCTCCTGGCCTGCAAAGCTTAGAGAGTCTCCTGTCTTCACTTTGCATCTCATCAGAGGAACACTGGGAGTATAAGCATGTGCTACCACACTCAGCTATTTCATGGGTTCTGGGGATTTGAACTCAGGTCCTCATATTCCTGCCGCAAGTGCTTTGTCTACTACACTATTTCTCTCATCCCATAATTTAGCTTTGGATGGGCATTTGGGATGTCACCAGGTTTCCATTTCTGCTATTACAGACATGGCGACTGTGAAGAGCAATATTCTTACCCAACTACAGGTATCTTTGCAAACATTTTCGAGTGGATTTGTATGAAGATTTTTAAGAAGAAGAGGGCCAGTTCCATGAACTACAAGACACAGGCAAACTAGTTCCAAGAAATGGCAGCTACTCACTTCCTAAACCCCTGTCAGACTCAGTCCCCGCTGGCACCTAGCAGTGCCTGTCTGCCCACTTTCTTTACCTTCACCAGGAGATTTCAAGTAGTGTTGAGTGGGACTTAGTATGTTTTCATGTACTTGTGAGAGACACAATCCTCTCTCCATGTGTATGGTTCACTTCTTCTCCTTTGTATCTTTAGAACTAAGTTACTTAAATATTACTAATTTTAAAAGTTTTCTAAACTGGGCATGGTGAAGTGGGAGGCTGGGGCAGACAGACTCTGAGTGAGGCCAGTAATGAGACAATGTCTCAATAGAAAGTTCTTTCTGTTCTAGGGAAAGAAATCACCTACATTATGTCTTTAGTCAGTTGTGTTCAGAAGTTGCCTATGGTATTTTCTGTAATAAGATGTTTTAGATTTTGTTGGAGTATTATTGATGGGCAGTAGGGACGGGTTGCTGTCACCAGGCCATTTCAGAAGCAGATCATAGCCAAAAATCTCTCTGCATTGGCATTCTAGTATCTTTACAAATAAACTTCAAGTGGTGATTTTTAGAAAAGGATTGTTTGGTAAATAAACATTTTCCTGCATTACCTGTAGAAAACAAAGATGTTAAAAACTTTAAAAACAGGAGAATTTTACCTTTAAATACTCAAAGAGGGGGAAAAATTACGTACTTGTATATTGGAAGCGCGCATCCAAGCATCAAAAACATCAGGCCAATTGCTCCTCCAAATGACAAGCTAATTAGAGCTGCAAAACAAACAGAAGCCCCAGAGAGCTCAGTCAGTTAAGCCACAAACATGAGTGCCGCCTTTGTTCATGCCTACGCCAGTCTGAGCGCTACATGAATCCCAGAAGTGAAACACTCCACCCTCCCCTCTAAATTCGAACTGTTAAAAGTGAACCATCCCATAGTGGGAGGAGTGGCTCATACATGGTAATCTCAGCACTCCCGGGACTGAGGCAGGAGGATTACTATAAGCTAAAAAGGTCCACTTGAACTACAGAGTAAGAACCGATCTCAAAAACCAAAACAAAATGTGAACTGTCTTCAAACTGCCAAATTATAGTTTCAGAATGAGCTTCTACAGCATCCTCAAAACAAAAGTGTAGAGGATGAGCATCCTCCCCAACCCTTTGAAAGGCTCTGACTCTGGAATGCCAGGAAGGCCAGCTAACTCAGGTCTTTAATCCTGTCTCTAGGGAGGTAGGGGCAGGTGGAACTCTGGTCTACATAGTGAGTTCCTGGACAGTCAGGAATACCTATCTCAAACAAGCACCTTGTCCCCCAAATACTCCACTATATACATCCAAATATTCCCAAATCAGAGGTAATCCACAAGCGGAAACACATTTGCTTCCAAAAACTCCCAACAAGGAATCCTTAGCCGGTACATCAGTTTAGCCCTACTGCTAACACATAGTATACACCCCAACGACCAGTTCCATTGCTCAGGACTATTAAGGCACATAGAGTTAAGTCCTTCCACCCACTCCTCCTCCAGCACAAACATTCTATTTAATCCACATGTGAGTGAAACACTTGCCACAAGAGAAGTGAAAGGGGAAAACCAAGTTTATAAAGTTGTCCTCTGACCTCCATAGGCATCACAAACAATAAGGAAGGAAGGAGGAGGGGAGGGAGGGAAAAACCTCATTAAAATAGACAAAAAGCAAGAAACTGAAAGAAAAGCTGTCCGAGGGTATGTGTAATTTATGATGATGTGTATTTTTCTTTTTAATTATTTTTAGACAGGGTCTCACTGTGTAGTCCTGGCAGACTTTGCTATGTAGATCAGGCTGGCCTCAAACTTCCCTGCCTCTGCCTCTCAAGTGTTGGGATTAAAGGTATATGCCACCACGCCTACCTTGTTATTTTTTTAAGGAAATGCCAGAGATTTACTAGATAGACTTCATAGTAACAACCTGCCTATAGTTAATTAGTGCAATCAATTAATTTTGTTACTCTTTAAAAAAAATACCTAACTTCAAGTTTTTCAAGTAATATATTTATTTTCATTTTATACACATTTGTATGTGTTTTGTCTGCACACATATCTCTAAGGGTGTTGGATTCCCTGGAACAGGAGTTACAGACAGTTGTGAGTGGCCATGTGGGTGCTGGGAATTGAACTCAGGACCCCTGGAAGAGTAATCAGTGCTCCTAACTGCTGAGCCATCTCTCCAGCCCCAATTTTGTTAGTCTTTAAATAGGTTACAGAAGCATAGTTCTGAGTTTCCAAATCCTAGGAAATGTGTAGGGTAACAGGACAGCCTGATGAGGAGGTGGTCCCACAGTCTTACCACAGGGAGAGGATGTGCTCTGTAGTCAGATATACCTCTCAAGCTCCCCACACACGGCTGCTATACACTAAAGTGAGAAATGACTTTATTATATATAATCAACAACCTAGATTTCAACCAAGAGAAAAGTGATCTATTTAATTTCTACATAGACTGCATTTCTGCATCCCCAATGGCTAAGAAAATGACTTGGTAAGACTTATTAATTTCTTTTTTAGATTTATTTATTTAGTGTGTGTCCTTGTGGAGGTCAGAGGGTGACTTGAAGGAGCTGTTCTCTCCTTCCACCATTCTGGGGCTCTGAGGACTGAACTCGGGCCATCAGGTTTAGGGGCAAGCATTCTTTCTTAAGTGTTAAATCATTTCACAGGCCCAGGAAGTAACTTTTAAAAAACTGGTACTGTCTAACCTTAACAGAAAAGTTAAAATCCAAAAGGTAAGTGAAAATCTAAAATTTACCAAGTAGAAAACTACAGCATACCTACAAAAATTAGTGGCGAGGGGTCAGACACTCCCTAATACTACCGACAAGATGGCCGCTGACACTGTCTTGGCCAACTGGTGGCAGCTGCAATGCTGAATAGAAGGTGATTCAGGTCACCGTGAACACAGTGTACTTAGTTATTAACATCACTATATTTTATATTTCCAGTGACAGTGGGGAAAAGTCAAGGATATGTTTGTGTTTTAAACAGCAAACACAGCACTCCAGGTTTACAGGGAATGCAGTAACTACAGGAGAACACTGTTTCCCTTTTGTCCCTCGTGGACCTGTCTACAGGCAGTAATGTCCTCCTGGCTTCTTGTACCACTACTTCCTATTCTGGAAACCAGCGGCTACTTCACCTACAATGCTTCTGGGCATTTTAGCATCCCACCTCAGAGTGTTCATTCATTCAGGAAAGTGACTGACATAAAGCATATAGCAAGGACCTCACTGGCTCCCTTTAGCCCCTACAGCCCGTGTTCCCACCCCACTCTGTGTCTCTTGTAGTTTACTACTGCTTTCCCTTCAGCTCTCATCTCCAGCATCTCTGCCTCAGCTATGCCAACTCTGCTACTGTGTTTATTACTTATTGATTTATGTAGGGGGCTAGGGACTAGCTCAGTGGTACAGTGCTTGCCGGGTGTAAACGAGGTTCTGGATTCAACATCCAAGGACTGCTGCATGAATAAATAACACTTATTTACTCATACAACAAATACACTGAGCACTCAATTTGGGCCACATTGTCCCTGCCACTGAAGGCACAACAATGAGGGGGAAAACAAACAAAGCTTTTACTTTCATGGCATATACATTCTAGAGGGAGAATCAGGCAGGCTTTTAAAATCATCACATTTTATTGACTATGTTATCTGTGTATACATGCTGATGAGGCATCTGGCTAACCCATAAAATAATCAACAATGACCGGATGTGGTGGTGCACTCTGGTAATCCCAGGCACTTGGAAGGTGGAAACAGGAGTTTACGGCCAACTTTAATTATATGCTGAGTCAGAGTTTAGGGTCAGCCTGGGCTACTTGAAACCTTACCTCAAAAATCAATAAATCAACAAACAAGCAAACAATGAGTCTGCATCAATTTTATGGCTGCTGAGTCTACTCACCTATGTATTTTCACTTTCTTAATTATGTGTCCATGGGCATTACTTATAGTCTCTTGCAAAAATGGGAACCCTTTAAGGATGAATTTCTGTTTTATTTATCTCTGTATCCTCAGGATTTTGTGTAGGAGCTGGTGTACAGTGAGTGCTGCAATCCAAATGGACTCCTATTCATCTTTCCTTCTCAATTGTTCCTCTTATGTTTCTGACACTCATGCTCCAACTTTAAAACTCAATAACAACTGCAGAATGAATGCAGTCCCGTGGAACACAGAACAGGGGAAGGAGGGGCCCAACAGCACTGTGTTCTGGCCTCTACTTACCACTAACATGTTACGTCAATAACTTATCTAACTCAGTTCTTCTTTCTATAGACGAGAAAGTCTGTATGGAAAAGGCAACCAAGTCCCTAAACACTGAAGATACTATTACAAAAGACATTCTGAAGAAAAACACCTCTACTCTCTGAAATGCAGTCAACAGTCAGCTAAGTTCACCACTGTACATCTGTACAGAAGACATTGAATTTACCCAGAAGTCACCTGTTCTACTGGAAGAAGCAAACATCAGAACTCAAGTGGATCAATGGACTAAATAGCAAGCTTCAGGCTAGCTTGGGCTACACCAACTAACCAGTTAGTTGACAAACCACCACCAACATCACGACCACCATCAACACCAACGCCCCCACCCAAAAACAACAAATAAAACAAAATCTAAAGTTAGGTGTGGCGATCCATATTTAGCACTCAGCAGGGTGAGGCAGGAGCAGGTGTTCAGGGGACCCTGTGCTACATGACTAGTCCTGGGCCAGTGTGGCCTACACATCAAGATGCTGTAAGGAAAGGAAAAGCAAAGGTATCATTCATGCTTAGTTCTATTTCCTAATAGTTTGGGTGCTCAGAACCAAAGTTAGAGCCCAGAAATGTTTTTCCCCCACAGAAATCACTGTTACTTGTGTCTTATGATGTGAAACTTTGTAAGTCTGATATTTTGTTTCCCACATTGAAATAAATTAGAAGTAGATGAAAGACTTGTCTGCAGTCAACAACTGTCCCTCTACAGGAGGCAAACACTGTAAGTCAGGCAGGAAAAAAAAAAGTCTTTCTTCTTTAAAAAGTGTGTTTGCCCTCAGCTGAGCAAGAGGAAGCCAAGACCTTAATGTGTTTGAGGTTAGTGCTACTCTGTGACAAAAAACACATATCTAAATTCTTTTTAAAAATTTACTTTTTAGCTGGTGGTGGTAATGCACACCTTTAATTTCAGCACTTGGAGGCAGAGGCAGGTAGATCTTTGAGTTCAAGGCCAGTCTCATCTATACAGCTAGTTCCAAGACAGCCAGGGCTACACAGAGAAACCCTGTCTTGAAAAACCAAAGCAAAATAAACA